TTCTGTGGGCACCCTGTGCCAGCACCTCAGCACCCTCACGGGGAAGAGCTTCTGCCTAAGAGCTCATCTCAGTCTCCCCTCTAGCAGGTTAAAGCCATTGCCCCTTGTCCTGTCACTATATGCCCTCAACTAAACTGCATGGTAAGATCTTGCTGTTTCTATTTTCGCAATTGAGTTAATGATATCTGAACGTCATCCCAAGCACACACATGGCTGGGGAGGGCAATGGAGGGCCTGCCTTTGGAGGGCATCTCAGTGCTTTTGCTAGTCACAAGACTCCAGTGGCTTTAGAAAGTCATCCTTGCACTGCAGTTGCGAACTGTGGGACGAAAGTTGGTTTGTGGAGTCAAAAAGAGGAGGGTTAGGAGGAAAGAAATGGGGCTAAGCAGAGGGGGAAATGACCTTCACTCCTATCATCTATTTGCCCTCTGCTGGCTATTTTTGTGGCATTTGGTCTCTCATCCTGCCCACTGCAAACATACTTTAACATTAATCAGTTAATAAGATGTTAATGCTAATAATAAGACGTTAATAAGATAAGTTAATAATAAAGTTAATAATGTTAATAAGAAACTGCTACTGAATAAAAAAGCCAGATCAGCTTAGCTTTAGATGTTTAAACTGAGAGAAAGCGAGGTGGCCCCTGTAAACTGGTGGCCCTGTAACCCCAAGCACCGAACCCAACTGATGTGCAGGGGCTCAAGGCAGCTGCAGTCCCCGCGAGGGGAAGTGCAGAGCAGCAGCAGAGCCTGAGGTGTGGGGCTCTTGTGGGGACGGGTGGCTGGAGGCCCCCCCGCCCCGGCAGAGTGAGCAAGCTGCTGCCAGATCAAAAACACAGCCACAAGCAAGGGCGAGAGGAGAAAACAAGCAAACCGCACAGCATGAAAGAGGCGCAGGAGCACACTGAGGGAACAAGATGCCAACTCTGCAGCAGGAGCGGTTGCTGGGGTTTTTGGTGTGTGTTTTTTCAGTTTCCTCCTGTGTCATGCTGGTGCCAGAGTGAGGGAGAGCTCTCTGCAGCCATCACCCACTGGGGCTTGGTGCTGGAGGGAGTGAGGGGCTGTTCTCCAGGCCAGACTTGGTCCTGCAGGCATCATTCCCTGGAGCAAGACTGCTCGCGCTACCTCAGCTCTCCCCCTCCTATCCATCAGGGAGGCGGGGACCATTAAAATAAGTCAAGAAAGAAATTAAACCAGTCTAATAAGAGGGGGAAGTTAAAATGAAATGGAAATCAGTGTTCACTTGGGAGGGAGCCCTGCTCCTCCATTGCTAGATGTGCTAATAAATTAAGTATGTCTGGACTGTTTCTGACACAAATGCCAACTGGCATGAGATGGTCTGGGCTATTAAACTCACTTAACCTCCAAAATGAACTGGCTACAGGCCAGCCGCCTAATGGGAGTGGTCCCTGGCCCATGCTATCACCTAAATGCATTCCAAAAGTTGCTCAGGAAAGCAAGGGTTGTCCTGGGCCAAAAATGTGTCAGGAAATGTACTAGCAATTTAACAGGACTGATGAGTGTGTTCCAGTGCCTGGGGACATTCCCTGACACCACTTAATTTATGAGTACTACCATCAGATACAGCTGGGCTGCCTGTAAAGAGGCTGTGGGTCTGCTACAGGCATCCACTAATGAGAGTGGCTTGCTCAGTTAACATGGCAGAGACTTGCTCCCCAAGATCTGTAAACTCCAGAGTAACATTCCCTGTGATCCGGCCTGGGGGGATGCGGATATGGGGAGAAAGACAGGGGAAAATAGGAAATGGCATGCATGAGGAGTAGAGATAAACAGGGAGAGAACATGTATGAAAGAAATGCTAGATGAAGGCAACCCATTTTTCCCGCTGATACGTATCATGTAGGTGGCAGACAGCATATTGAAGGTATCTGCCACAGAAATACAAAGATCAGTGTGAATGAAGAAGGAATGCAGAACATGTGAAACCACGAGAAGAAACAGAAAAACAAAGATAAATCAATCTGCACCTAGCAAGCTGAGAGAGGTCAGCAGTTCACCAGTCCCACGCTGCTCTAGTTCTGTGGTTTTGCTCAATAACCAGGTAGCAAGAAGGTGAAGAACAAACTGAAGCCATAAGATGACAGGAAAATAGAAATTCCCACCAAAACAAAATGATGGTGTGTGACTCAGCGATTTCATTAACTTTTACCTGCTCCATTACCTTCAGGTTTTATATAAAGCTTAATGACTCTGAAGTATTTCAAACCCAGCACTGACCCTGCTAATTTGCAGGTATTACTTTAGAGCGGGGGCTGACTTTTCCTGCTGGTGCCACTGGGACAGATGATGGGACTGTTCACAGCGGGAACAAGGTTTCTTATGTCGTCTCAGGAACGGATCTTACTCAGGGCCCTACGCCAGTTCTTGGTTATAGATGTTTCTGCAGAGTGAGATGCATGCAGATGCCTTGTTGTTGTCCCTTTCTTTATTCTGTAGCATAGCCCAGCAAACTGCTTGATCACTGCTACTGCATCCTGTTAGAAGTGATTTCCAATCACATGCACTGGCCTCTTCGGTTTACTATTTTTGCACAAAACAACTCATGCAAATATTCCCTGGGGCTCGATAGGTTTTTTGCTTTGCACAAGGCGAGCCACAGATCTTCTCTGACTGTGCCTTTGCCATCTATTTCTCTTCTAATGGTGCACACAGCTGCTGCCTTGCTCTTGGACCTGTAGTTTTCATATGTGCATGTGTGTATGTCTGTCTAGCTGTCAGATTGTCAGTCATGGTAGCCTGATCTCCATGTAAATGTACTCCTTGATAGTTTCAAGTGCTCTGATCATTTAAATTAATTTCAGTGTTAAATTATCCTCTAATAGAATATATTCTACTTAATATTGCACATATAAATATTGTACAAAATTATTATTGCATTTCTTTTTGTCACAACTCCAGTATCGAGTCTATCATGCTCTTGGCATGGGCAGTGCTTGCTTTTGAAGAGGTGAGATTGCCTCACTGTTTCTGCTTGCTCCAAAGCCAGTTTATCTTCTTGACTTCCTTTTTGTGATATGTCTTGGTTTAGGGATGGAGACCTTGGTAGTCTCCTTGCACCAGCAGCCATGGTCCCCTTCACCTTGACAGCCCACCCAGCTGAAGCTGACGCCAGCACTTGGTCTCTGCTACAGTCAGATACTTCATCTAATTTGATGTTAGCTCCCAGATCCCACTTCAGGTTTTGTTACCATCAAGGCAGCTTCTTTCAGTCCTCATTCCTCCCTTCCCCCCAGACTTTTTGTTGAATAGTCCTAAGAATTCAAATGAGTCTTTCCAACAACATCAGACTTGGTGGTTATTGAGATTTTTAAGGTAAGAAATAAGTAGACAAAAAAAACAAAAAAACAAAAAAACAAAAACCCAAACAAAAACCTACCTAAAGAAAAATATTAATAACAACCTAAAGATGGCCTTAATCACAGATTCACAAAATCACTGTCCTAATTTCAGCTGTAACAGTTATTTTTCTCCTTCCTAGTAGCTGGTGCAGTGCTGTGTTTGAGCTTTATTCTGTGAATAACGCTGGTAACACACCGATGTTTTAGTTGTTGCTCAGTAGCACTTACCCTGACCAAGGACTTTCTAAGTCTCATGCTCTGCCAGGAAGGAAGGGAAGCCAGGAGGAAGCAGAGACAGGACACCTGACCCAAACTGGCCAAAGGGGTATTCCATACCACAGCACGTCATGCCCAGTATATAAACTGGGGGGAGTTATCCGGAAGGCCCAGATCGCTGCTCGGGTCAGGCTGAGTACTGCTCAGGGGGTGGTGAGCAATTGCATTGTGCATCACTTGTGTTGATTGTTGTTTTTCTTTCCCCTTTCAGTTTTATATTCTCTCCCCTTGTTATTTCCCTTATCATTATTTGTAATAGTAGTGTTATACTTTAGTTATTGGACTGTTCTTATCTCAACCCCTGGGGTTTACATTCGTTTGATTTTCTTCCCCATTGTGCCCAGAGTGGGGGGAAAGGAGGGAGTGAGCATCCGGCTGCGTGGTGCTGAGTTACCGGCTGGGCTCAAACCACAACAGTCACACAGAAATACTTGGATAGCAAGGGACCTCTAGAGGTCTCCAGTCCAACCTCCTGCTCACAGCTGGGTTGACTCTAAACCTACAAGTATGTTGCTCAGGGCCTTGTCCAGGGAACTTCTGAGTATCTCCAAGGGTGGAGATTGCCGGGTATTTCTTGGCATCTACTCCAATATTGAACCATCTTCAGTGGGCAGAATTTCTTCTTTATGTCTAGTTCCTTGCTGCAACCTATAGCTGCTGCCTCCTCTTCCTTTCCTGTGCACATCTGAGAAGAGCGTGGCTCCTTCTATGTAATATCCTGTAGATAATGGGAGACTGAAATAAGATCCCTCCTTGGCTCTCTTCTCCCTACCAAACTCAGCTTCCTGTCATGATGTGGTCCAACCTCCTTACTGTCCCAGTAGCCCTCCTTTGGACTCTGTCCACTTTATTGGCATCCATCTTGTACTGGGGGCCCAAAACTGGATCCTGTATCCTAGAGGAGATCTCAGGTGTGCCAAATAGAGGAAAATATTTACTTCCCTTAGCCTGCTGGCTGTGCTTTTGCTAAAGCAGCCCTGTATGTGTTCAGGCTTAATCACTGCAGTAACCTGCCACAGAGAAGTAAAAAACCCACAGATTTCTTGTCAGTATAAACACCTGCAGTCCAGTGAATGCCAGAAACCTAGGGATGAGGAAAATGCTGTGTTTAATATCAAACTCTAGAGGGAACACTGCAGCTGGATTCTTTGATGAAACACAGGGCTCTAGTGATTTTACCAATGAGTTTCCACTTCGTTGCACAGAAGGATGGGCGGGTGCTGATGGGGAACATGGATCCTATGTGCCGAGGTCTGAAAATCAACCATTATTAACAGAGCATTTGGGTCTTCCAGGATAGCATCCCTTAGCAGCGACAGCATTTCCAGCCCTGCAGTCTGCAGCAATGAGCAGCATTCCCACAGTGATGGAATCATGCAGCATGGTGGTGAGCAGCACACTTGCCATCTTCTTGGTTCTGCATCTGGGTAAGTCCTCAGCTCAGCAACTGCCTTCCCCTCCCACCCAATTCTTACAGCCTTTCCACAGGGCTCACAACGTGTGGGGTAGTTTTATGCTCTTCCCGATTTGCCATGTAACTTACCTCACATGGTTTAGAGCAGGCTCATTCCAACCATGAAGCTGTGACAGCTGCCTTCTTACCTTGTCTTGCTCATCCCTGCACTGCTCAGCGACTCTCTGTGGGGCCACACAGTGGAGGTTAGGCCCGAGGGACCTCTAGAAGCAGAGGTCCCTACATCCATGTCCTGTTATTCCAGAGGCAGCTTGGACAACTCAAACTTTGGGACTTAGGTTGTTCCCAGCCTGCCTTCTGAGCCTGCCAGCCAAAACCAGGGTGTCTGGAGTATCACCAGGTTTGGGGAGCTGCCCTGTGGAGATGCAAGAGAAGGGTTTCTATGGGAGCCAGGGTGCACACAGAGCACAGAGTGGAAAATACTGCCTTCCACACCACCTCCAGATGTCTAGGCAAAAATGTGTATTGCTTACTTTGACTGCTGTTATTAAGTTTAAGTGGACTTTTTAGTGCTCATTTTCCAAGAAAGGGAAGCGACTGAAGAAGGCCAAGCCTGCACTTCTCAGATAAACAATTTTGATTCCTCTTGTTGCAGAGGAAAGATTGGAAAACTTTCATACACTCTAGAACCAAAAGCAAAGCAAAAGATACCAACTCTTATGAATGACATTTATAACTTCACAGTGGTCCAAAGTGTGATTATCAAAAGTCTGTATGGGCAATGCTGTGGTTTACATATGCTCTTGGAGAAATATGTAACTTGTGGAAACCCCTCCATTAAACTCATATAAACTTTTAATTTTGCACTTCTGTGGCTCTCTCACACAAGGGTCACCTGGCGATCTGCAGGTTATGCAGCTCTGAGGGCTTCCCAGCAGTTCCAGTCATACCTCTGGGCAACTCCATCTTCTCCTTATGGTCTCCTGCAGGAATCTTCTTTGCAGTGAAGGAAAGGAAGTGGTTCTTCTGAGGAGCTATCCCTAATCTCTCTTCAATATTATACTTCCTACTTCTTTTACTGTCACATAGCCCTCATCCCAAGAACAGGAACCTGACAATAGGCCAGCCTTCTCTTTTTCTTTCTTACTTCACCCTGTCATTTTCCTAGGCTTTCAGTCTGGCTCCATGCAAAAACTGAAGAAAGGAATGAGCAAATTTGCCAGCACTGCCTCAGGCCTTGGCTGGGGAGCGAAGGAAGGCTGGCATATGCTGCCCTGCCTTTGCTATCAGCAGGACAACTACATCTTGTCCAGTGGAAAAAGGTTGTTTCAGTAAAGCTGTCAACATCTCAAAATTGTGAATGATGGTGAATCCACCACAACCTCTGGTATTTGCACTTTCTGAATGTAGATGAAACAGAATAGCCATTAGCCAGGTAAAGAGCCCAAAGTGGAGGTGAGGGAAGCTACGGAGCTGAAAAGAAAAGGGATGGATGGATGGATGGATGGGACAAAGGGGAGAAAAATCCAGAAATTAAGGATAATCTTCCCAGTATCTGGAAAAGGGAGAAGAAACATCTGCTTCTTTTTGAAGAGGTGGGAAATACTCACTGAGCCACCCTTTGGAAAGTGAATGTATGTGTTTTTTGGTGGGTATTTTCTTTCAGGTCTGATCCCCATTATGGCCCAGCAAAGTGAACTACAGACTGGAGTGGCAGGACAGGCAGTGATCCTGAACTGCGGAGGCATACCTCATAAAACAGGGGTTAGCTGGAAGTACAATAATCTTCTTATAAGGCATTATGGACACACCTATTTGAAAGGTAAGGCTTCCAAGTCATCACCCCTTCTCCCCAGTACATCCCTGAGAAACCTCTTCCCTCCTAACCAGACTTATTTTTTCAAAAGGCAAAGCTACCATGACCAATAGATCGGAAATTGACCGCAAGACTAAACACCTGAAGGTGTTGGACTTAAGGCTCTCCGATGCTGGCACCTACACCTGTGAATCTGACTCTTACATAGTCAGTATTTCACTGCATGTCTTTCAATGTGAGTGATTAGAGGGCTTTTATCCATGAGGAGGTGAGGGGGGAAATGGACCATAGAGCTCAGAGAGGCATCTCTGCTGGAATTCTTTATCCAGCTGCCATTTCTTCTGGCCTGGACTATCAGAGTTCATTTCTCCTCCATCTCCAGAGCACAGTCTCTGGAAAAGGGGTAGACTTACTGGCTGCACCTTTTGTTTTTACAGTGACAATTTCTTTAGATGGGCACTTCCTGCCAAATGAAGTCCCTGAGCTGACTTTAATGCAAAGTTCACCCCATTCTTTACCTGATCTCACTATCACGGTGTTTGCCAGTAACAAGAACACAGTAAGATCAACACTCTCAGAAAACAACACCCGACAGAAGTACATACTGAAGTTGAAGCAGCTGGAGGCTACGGACAGCGGGACCTGGATGTGTCACATCCATTCAGACTCTCCATTGATTAATCAAAACATCTCCTTTGATGTGAAGGTATTAGGTATGCAACAACAAAAATGCAATTCACGCAGGCTTGGGAACCAGGGCTCTCTCCAGCTCATAAGCCGAGCTTTTACTTTTCAGCATCCCAAGCAATGGTGCTCCAGGGCCAATTTCCCAGGGCTTCCAACACTGCAGCTTGGGGATTACTCTGCTCCCTGAACCCTGTTCCACAATTGCTCCCATTTTCCTCTCCCGGCTTGGTGAGGAGATGATCCTCCTCTCCTTCAGGTCTGTTCTTCTCAGCTCTGGTGGCTTGGGAGCTTTGGCTCTTTAAACCTATTCTCAGACACTGTTTAACCTTCCTGGGTTAACTCATGGCTTTTCTCCAAGTCCTCCTTCAACTGAGCAGAGCGTGCCTCTCTCCAGCCCAAAGGTAGACACAGGGAAGTGTAGCATTGGCTTTCCCTGCCTCTGTATTCCTTCTCTCTTCTGAATTCAGGTTTTCAGAATCCAAATTTGGAAAGAAAGTACGCAACTGTTGACAGCACTGTCATCTTGTCATGGCTCCTGAACTTCCAGAAGATAAAATGGAAAGAAGATTTCACAGGACAACTGAATTGGAAACAACACGAAAGTGCAACCGCCCATGAGCTACTTGATTTCAGTGTCACAGCACGAGGAGAGCAGCATGAGACCAAAAAAAGCAGTCACTTTTTGTTTGAGATACCTGAAAGCAAACCTGAAGGTACCATAAAAGTGAAACTCCCCAAAGTCCATTTCAACCACTCTGGCCAGTACAAGTGCGAGCTGGCATACAAGGGAAGATACGTGCAGAGCACGATAGAGCTGGTGGTGATGAAAGGTGAGAGAAAGAGAAGTGTATCAAGAGATGAGGATCTGCAGAAACTTGGAAGCCACAAAAGTATGGGTGGACCCATCTTTCTGTTCTCTCACTCATGTGCCCTCTTCTCTCCTTTACAGTCTCAGCTAGCCATGTGGGGCCGCTCCCCAGAGGGGCTGAGATGACCCTGACCTGCCAAGTCTCTCATCCACTCTCATCCAACACCCACTTGCTCTGGGAACGTGTGAATGGAACGCAGATGGACATCAAGAAGTCAAAGCAGCATGAAGTAAAGCTGGAGGTGAACGTCAGTGCTGCAGGGCTGTGGAAGTGTCACCTCATAGAAGACAATGACAGGAAGATCAGCCTTCATTACCCCGTGGGTATGGACATCAGCATCATGTCTCTGCCTCCACCCAGAAGTCTTAAAATTTTCTTTGTTTCTGAATACTTTTTTCCTTCCCCAGAGGAAACTCCTGTTTGGAATACCTATGTGGCAATTGGAGCAAGTATTGGTGGCAGTGTATTAGCACTTGGCCTTGCATGCCTATGCATCATCAGTAGTATAAGATCGCAGCAGAGAAGGGTGAGTGCCCTGGTCCCTGTGAAAGGTGATCAAACCATAGGAAGACTGTTTTTCTGTGTGGATGTGGGGCAGAACAGGTAAAGGGTCAATCCTTAGACTCAAAGCAACCTGTTAGAAACAGACAGTCTGCAGATGTCAGACAGTACTTCACTACCACTTCAGAGGAAAGCATTTGAAGCATTAAAATATCCAATTGTTATTTATGCTTTCTCTCCTGGCAGCAACGGAGAAAAAGGATGGCACAAGCAAGACAATACTTGCTGGAAAACAAGACGTGTCAGTGTCAACGGTGAGTGGCAATGAGAGCACTCAGAATGGGCAAAGACTGGTTTCAAGACAGGGGGGCTGGATGGTAGAGCAGGAAGAAACAGAGCTTGAGCCTGCTTGGTGCTACAGTACAGCTGGCTGCATGTCAGCATTTTCAGCTCTTACTCACATGAAGTCACGAGCTATGTTTAATGAATTTCCTGTTATGCCCCAAACCCATGGTAGCACTGTGCTGGGAAACTTCTGAGCAGAGAGGTTTCACTTGAATTACCTTCATGTTTGAGACATGTTAGCCAAACCCAAGCTGGAGCTCCTGAGTTCTTTGATAGTTTCCACAGTGGATCTGGGACCTGGATATACCTGTGGAGGTGGAAGGCACATAACCAAGCTTAAGGATGAAACCCAAATTTTAAAATCAAATCAGGTATATAGAACTACAGTAGTGAGGCATCTATTGCTGATAAATGGAGTATTAAATTCAACTTAATCTGAACAGGATGTGAATACCTTTAGCCTGCTTAAATGCTAAAAGAGTCAGAATTCAAGAGATATTAAGGTGAATATTAAATCTCGAGTATAGCACACTAGGTTGTATGGGTTACACTGTGAATGAAGGGCTGTGCTTGACTTGTGTAGGCTGCAATCCAAGCTCTGCATTCAGAGATGTAATTTGCTTAGCATGGAATTCCAGGTTATGTGCCTTGGTCTAGTAGGAGGTGTCTCTGCCCATGCCAGGGGGTTGGAACTGGATGATCTTAAGGTCCTTTCCAACCCAAACCATTCTATGATTTTATGTAATTGCAGCTGTGCTAGCACAGTGCTGGACTGCAATCTGAAAATGGCCAATAACCTCTTGGGAGCGAGGAAATAGAAGATAAAACCACAGAACACTGTGAACCAGGCCCTCTCCCAAAGGCCTTGGGTGATATGAAATACACCATCATGTCCTGGCCTTTTTCATGGGAGCAAGGATTTCTTGGAAGAGAAGCTGCCCTTTTCCAGGTCTTTAAGCTTACATGGTATCAGGCTTAAGAAGCAGCTGTGGAGAAACACTGACAGCTATTCTGTCACTGGAAGTGAAGAGCTAAGGACAGTATAAGTGATTGCAAGAACAAGTTCAGTGAATGTATAGATACAGAACTGGACGTTTGCTTAATTTTCACTGATGACAGTGACAAACTGTGACAGTTTGACCTATTTTTTTCACTGTCACTGAATTGAGTGAGAATGTTTATTGGCAAATACTGCTTCACAGCTGGGATGTGTATGCAGAGAGTAAGGTTAAAAAATAATCCTGAAAAGGAGAGGACAAAGCCCATAGAGCTACATAAAAACTAGATAAATCTGTGCAATACAAGTGCTGATACAGTTCTTCTTTTAGTCTTTTTGCCAAGTAAGCAACTCAGTGTAACTGAAACGTAAACCATGTGGATGTACAAGTAACCATTTGCATCCTTAATTACAGCAGTGGGGAGTCATTCTCTACACTACACAAACAAGTGTGGGCCTGGCTGCAAGGTATCCAAGTGAAGCCTTTCACCTTTGCAGTACTGGTACTCACATAGTACTTTTCTCTTGCAGCTTGCTCAATAAGTAGTATTGCAGCACCGGAGTCAGAAGGACTGATGAAGTCTCTGCTTGTACCTAAACACCAGCCAGCGCATAGTGCTCTGTGAATCCATCTCTCTTTCTCCTGTTTTGATGTAATTCTTCATTTCTTCATCATTTCCCCAGTCTAACGCTATGGAGGGATGTTTTATGGCCAGAAGCTGAGAGACAAGACAAGAAACCCTTAAGGGTTATGATTGGTGCCCCGTTCTATGATGAGAGACATTGAATAGAATCTATATATATACACACGTTTGTATTTTGTATATATATACATGTATAGAGACGTTTGTATTTCGCTCATGCACATAATTTGACTTTCTTGTGGAACCGATTATATTCAATTCTTTTATCTGCCTGAGCTACAATAAATTACTTTGGGGTTGGGTTAGTTTGGGGTTTTTTTTAAGATGCACCATATTTTTTCTGAGGAACTTTTTTCTATTCAAATTCACATTTCTCCCTTTCCTGCTAGGATGTGTGACCCTGATTCTCACTATCTCCCACCTCTCTGGCTGCCATGAGCCTTCCTTAATGCACCAGCCCTCTGCTCTCTGTGAAACCTGTCCATCCTCGTTTGCCTTTCCTGGGCAGTCTGAGCCCTACAGAACCCCCCAGACCCCTCCTCAGCTTGTAGTCTTCACCTCTCCCACAACAAGCCAATTCACAGGTGAAAACACCAGAAGCAGTGACATCATTCAGGAATAATATTGTTGGGGGGGCAGTTCAGGCTACCAATAGCTTCTGGAAATACCTGAAGAAGCTGTGAATGTTGATCGAGAAGGTAAGTTTGGGATGGGGTGACAAAGTCATTTCCTAGGAGAACAAACCAGCCTTGGACTGAGCAAGCCCACAGAGAAGAGGGAACAGATACTTCTGAGAAAGCCACTGAAAATGGTTCTCAACAAAATGATTTTTGTTGGCTCAAGGAGATGGGAAGTGGGAGTGAGAAGCCCAGTAAATTTAGGATGGAAGTAAAAATGTGGTGCAGAGATGCCAGAATGTCCTGGAAGGAAAAAATACCATTGAAATACATACACAGAAGCCTCGTGTTTACAGAAGTTATTCTACTGTCTGCCAGCGGCAGGTCAGAAAGGCCTCGAGCTCCTGCAGCTGTCACTGCCTGCAGTGCAGGTCTGTTCATGTGCACTGGCCTTGCTGCGGAGAGGCAAAGGGGGCTGTGGGAAGGGCTCCCCATGGCAGAGACCCCCATGCAGAGTACCCCCCATGCGGGAGGCACAGAAGCATCACGCCGTTACTGTCAGAGAGCGCAGGTGCCAACAACGGCAGAGATGACATCTGTGAGTGGGGGGAGATCCTGCCCCCCACAACCTCATCTCTGACCCGCAGTGGGGACGCGGCCCCAGGCAGCTGTGGCAGCAGGTGTGAGCCACCACCGGTGTCATGCCTGCTCCTCCACCATCATCCTCATGCAAACAGGAGTGATGAAGACCTGTGTAATGCTGTTTTCCTTCCCATAGCTTGTGCTTGTGCATGCAAAACTACATTCATCTTGGAAAAGCCTTGGTCCATGCCCTAGGGCGCATAGTCACTCCTCCTGCTCCCGTCCTGTCCCTGAACTGCCAGCGTACTTTGGGAGCCATTTGCGGCCCATCAATCTGCTAAACAAAGCATCATTCAGGCTTAAGGAGAGGTCCATTTTGGGAGCTGTATGGGAGCACATGTCAGTGGTGGTCAATATAGCGATCATTATAAAGTGCTTGGCATAGTCCCCACAACCAAAACTAACCCCTGTTCCTGCAGTCCAGACCCTTCTCCTTAAATAACTGCTCAAGCACCCAAATCTGCTCCATTTTCCACTCATGCCGGTGTCCAAAGCAGAGGGATTATCCTGTCCCACCTGATCCCTGGGTGCACAAAGCAGCACACTGTGTGAGCATCCACTGCAAGCTCCTCTGGCAGTGCAGCCATCACCCAGCAGTTCAGATGCTCATCTGAAGCTCTGGCAGCTGAACCAACCAGCTCTGTACTTAAAAACACAAGCCTTGACTTTGTCAGTGAGAGGATCATCCTAACAAAAACCCCCTAAGATAATAGGCCCTACCTGGCCTCCAGCACAGGGTGGCCTCTCACAGGGTGAGGAGTATCACCATGTGGAACTGCGACCCTTAGCTCAGCAACCTCAGTTCTGCTCTCTTCCAAGGGCTGGAAGAAACATGTTGAGTTCCCACAAGCAACCAAATGCTGTGTCCCCATTCACAGAGATGCAGAAGGTCCCTCCATCCATTTCCAGGTAGCCCAGCTGGCATTGTAGTGGATATGATGGTGCCACTGGGATGCCTGTAAGTGCACAGCCGTGTGCACAGATGCACAGCTTCCAGTTCTCCCACCTGGATGAGTGTAACAAAAATGATAAGCCTTCCTCAACACTGCACATTTCCTCAGTAGGTCTCCTGATCTCAACAGCCGTGACTCTGCCCTACTCTACTTGAAACTCACCTGCAAGCACAAACCACATTAGGCTCCTATCTCATAAATCTCTTTTTCTGGAAGCTCTTCTGTCTGTACCTTTTCATATAATGACCTTCTTTGTTCCCCAGATGCACCAACCGCCCTGATTGAGAGAAAAGTCATCCACAGAGCAAGTCCTAGATGGGCTTTGTGTTCCATCTGAGTGCAATATTGAAAGCTTCAGTGTGGGCTTCAAAGCAGTATGGAGGTGGAGGTACAGACCAGATAAGAACAAGCTTGCACAAAACATAAGTGTCAATGTAGATGTACCTGATGAGTCCCCAGCTGGAGTGGACATCTTTCCCAGGCCTAGGCTGCAGCAGTACAACAGCACACTCCCTTTCTGACACAACACACTGTCTTCACCGCCTGTGCAGCAGGTAATACTGTGTAAACAGCACTCCTATGAGGCACTGAAGACAGAGATGAAAAGCCAGGTGTCCTTAGATCACTTCTGTGTGGTCCTTTCCTTGCAGCATCCCAGGGCTTTTTAGGCTGTGTTGCATGTATCCTTGATCCTCCTCCTCACGAGGCATTGAGGACTTCCACCTTTGCTAGGTGTGATAAGGGTGTATTTACACCATGCAATGGAATAATGCCACTGCACGACGCAAACCACAGTGATACACTAGTAGACAAAGCAGCAAACACAAGGACAGACAAACTTTATCATGTGGTGACAGCTCACCGGGGTAGCCCCGAGATGATGGCAGGGCTCTGAAAGGCATACCTGTCAATACTTACAAAATGACAATTGCAGAAAAAATGGGAAGTGCTGTTTTTTCCTAAGTGTTGAGTACTTTTTGATACTGCTGTTCCCCCTGTTTCTGGGCTGCAGAAGAGAAAAAGCACATGCTTCCATCCTTTGGACCCACCTCTAATGGTCCCCTGTCAGGACCCACAGACTGGCTTGCTCCAGCAGAGGAAGGAGCTTGGACACCG